AGTATTTAGTTGATCTGTAAAAAAAAGTGTCTAATATAAGCAACCAACAAATATACCCCACAGGTATATACAATTTCACAGTGAAAGAATTTTAATTAACAAATTTACAAAGTAGATTTTATTGCAGCGTCTCATAACGTCAAACAACACCTTAAAAAGTGCATCTAAAATTCAGTCCTAAGTTTAGTTAGAGACTTCAGATGATGACATTTATAAATACACAATGCAATCAGCTAAAAATCTTAAGTTAAAGACTTCTCATCAATCAGTAAATACAAGTAAGTACATCAGTAGTACTGAATAGTAATCTAAAGTTGAACAAACTGAAGATAGCGCCTGGACTTTTAAACCCCACTTATATACTTCAGAGTAGAGTTCCCCCCCTTAAAATCTCAATAAACAAAAAGCATAGGTAAATAAATGAAAGCCAAAAATAGAGACTAAAATAAAATAAATACAGTCATTATTTGACACGGAACGCATTAAAGAGAAATAAACAAACCTGTTGAATTTAAGCATTGTCTCCAAAGTCACCCAGCCATCATCGACCTGCAGCTGCTCTTTGAGAAACCGGTCTCTTGGAAGATTGTGATCGCCAAAGTAGTACTGAGTAGGAATCATTTACAGCCAAATCAGGACCAATTTTACCTGGTAAATACCAAATTATGAGTTTAAACTTTAAATTGGAAATACCTCGATTTGTCGCGCCACTTTCCCCTCCAGTGGAGACATCTCTTCTTGACTTTCTGCCATTTTGGTTCTGCATAGAAAAAAACAAAACAAAAAGAAAGGTGTCCTCTTGAGATTTCTCCGATGTTTACAACAAATATTTAAATAAAAAAAAATCTTATAAGAAGAGATTTTATCCATGTTATATATGAAACAAAAAAATCAAAATGTTTTTTTCGGGGAGCTTTTTTGTATTAACTGTAAATTTTATATTAATGGCAGATTCCCAACATGTGGGTCGCAGCCCTCTGTTGGGCTGTGAAGGTACTGCAGGTGACGTCATTCACAATATTTATCTATAGTTAATAAAATTCACTTATCTAAATTCTTGATTGTCATAAGTTTTAAAACAGACTGGACACACACACACACAAGATCCTATAGGATAACTTACAATTTACGATGCACTCTTATTGGCCAAATATATTAAGATTTTGGTTTTACTAATAAATTAATAATTAAAGATTAAAAGGAATAAAATCTGGATTAAAAATGATTTTTCTGTAACAAATCGTAAAGAACTTTTAAATTAGGTTTTGTAATTTTGTTTATAATTTGCATGAATTACACTTAAAAAGAAGCTAAACTAATGAAACAAAGCCATGACACTTAAATATTTTCATTATTTTTCATTTCATTTGATTTTTGATGTACCTCTTAATTTGTTAGAAATGAATTCTTTTGAGAATCAAGTAAAATATCTGAAGGTCAAAAACCATGAAAAACACTTGTATGACAACCTGTGAAATCAAAAATCTAAACAATCTAAAACATGGCAAAGATTAAATTTATACAACAGGTTGTTCTAACAAATATTAGGCTTTAGTACTCAAAGAGTCAACTGTTTTAAACAGAAGGTATAAAATGACTAAAACCAAAAAACTGCCAGGCTTAGGCAACCTGAACCATGTTAATGGGAAAAGGGGCCCTTTCACCCTTAGAATTATTATATTTGTTGATATTTTATGTTTGTAAACACAGAAAGTTCCATTCCCCTTTGCTGTAGTGAGGACAGCGCAGCTATGTGGCCATTTTAAATGGCCTGTATTTACATAGCGCTTTACTAGTCCCTAAGCAACCCAAAGCGCTTTACACGCCCAGTCATTCACCTATTCACACACACATTCACACATTGGTGATGGCAGCTACATGGTAGCCACAGCCACCCTGGGGCGCACCGACAGAGGCGAGGCTGCCGGACACTGGCGCCACCGGGCCCTCTGACCACCGCCAGTAGGCAACGTGTCTTGCCCAAGGACACAACGACCGAGACTGTCCAAGCCGAGGCTCGAACCGGCAACCTTCCGATTACAAGGCGAACTCCCAACTCTTGAGCCACGATCGCCCCGCCCTCATTTTCTAGGGATGTTGCTTGATCAGCTTATCCGCAAACCAAATGATATTTACGAACCTCCCTAGCCGACATTCATCAATGTTGTGCTGGCTGAAAGTTGAAATACAGCACGAGGAAGAGTATAAAGAAATCGAAAAAAACAAACAACAAAAAGCAAATAAATAAATAAAACCCAAAACTGAAATACAACATAAAAGCCAAACGAACTAGGGAAAACATATGATTAGCTATTGGCCACGTTGTCACTGGTATGAGGCCTTGCTGTTGTCTGAGTTTTTGTAAATTATCTGCAAGGCCATACAGGAACCATCTTGAAGACTTAATTATAATAACCAAAGTAATAACTTAATGCAGTTAAACAGTTACATGCACTATTAAATAACATTTAGTTGCTATATATTTAGCTAGACATTTAGATACACGCCTTTAGATAGATGCCCAGTTTTAAATCTTACAAAAGGGAACCTAAACCTAAAATAATCATAATTAACTACGGGCTCATCTAGCTCCACGGCTAACCTGTTAGCTTAGCTCTTTCAGTACACGGGCCACGCTTGGCGTCAACACAACAAAAGCAGCTTCTTATTTGTCTATCCACGCTATCAGTACATGTTTTAATAAATTACGTGATTTGTTAGTGCGTGAATTACTTTTTTTGTAGGTAAATTAAAGTAGTCACCGCTACTCTGCTAACATTATTCTAGCTGCAGCACACTGTTTAAACCTGCTGGAAGAAAATCCACTCTGTTCCTTAGTAACGTTATAAAACACTCCCTGGGTAACATAAAAAGCCTTAAAATTTGTTTTCACAATCGTAAAAAGTTGCACTTACATAATGAGTCGCAGCTAGAAGTACTTTAAGCTGTTCAATCCAACAGTCCTCACTTCACTGCTCGCACGTTGTGGAACTGCGTGCTACGGAGCCCACCAAGGGCCAAAAAAGACTCATGTTCGCGCAAGCTCCTCTGTGCTTGATCCCTGCAGCAGAACAACAAGAAATTTGGTCTTTTTCATTATGTATACGTGTTAATGCTTTGGAATAATTTTCTCTAGTACATATTTGGGTATTTAGAAAATTAAAATTAAGAAACTTAATTTATCAGTGCACAATGTTTTAATTAATTAATTATTAAATTGATCAAACTTAGCCAGAGTGCACTTTAAAATCACAAGACATTACCATCTTATTTAAAAGTTTAAGCAAACTGATCGATGTGCATTTGTTTTTCAAACACAGGAAGATTCCCAAGCCTGAAATAAAAATAACGTAAGACTACAAATTTATCCAAAAACTTCAGTATTCTTTTTACATGTTCCTATACCTGTTAAACGTTCTTATGCTTTTCATATTTGCGCTTAAAAATATTATTTTTGTTTGTTTTTTGTTTTTGCTAAGCCACGTATTTACGCGAATAGTGTGCAAGTTTGATACTGTATTATAAACTGCGATGATATATCACAACCACAAGATGCCGCTGTGATTCTAATGACGGCGTTTAGTTTTTATGTGTCATTTTAAAGTTTTTGTTTTTCGTATTTATTAGGTTGTTTTTTTTATTGATGTGTGTACCTTTTATAAACAATTATAGTAGGACTTCAGTTGCACCGATTGTTGTAAGAAAGGTCAGACTTTTGTCAAGGCTGACATTTCATTAGCTTAAAATAATTTTGCCTCTTTCCTGACTTTGTTTTGGGAGACATCTACATTGTATTTTTATTGTTGTATGTGTGACGTAAATATCACCCACCTAAGTTTGGGAAAAGACTGTTGTTATTATTATCAGCATTTTTCTCTTTTGATATCAACTTTAAAAAAAATGTAATGTAGCTCGTCTTCTTTTAATTATTTGAATTTAAGATAAGATAAGATAAGATAAGATAAGATAAGATAAGATAAGATAAACCTTTATTAGTCCCACACGTGGGAAATTTGTTGTGTCACAACAAAAAGTGAACAGTGCAAAGTTGCAGCAACAAAAATTAATAAAAACAATGGAACAGGATGAGATAAAAAAAAAAAAAAAAAAAGAA